GTAACTTCAAGGAGGCATAGTGCCCTCAGCAGTGAAATGGGAACAAGGCCGTTTCCCTGACAACGCTGTGTGGATTAACTGGGATCAAGAAGGTTATATGCAACTCTGGAATGCAGTACTGGCCCAGTTAACAGCAGTTGTGATCACATGCAGATTTTTGTTCATAAAGCCGCAGTGATAACACCCAGTGCGTGTTCTTTTTTGCGCTCTGCTCTTGCCTGGCTGCACCCATCTCTCAGGTGAATTCAGTTTCAAGTGCCTTAAGAGTGTTGGACATTTGCCAGTTCCACTCTCTCCTCTCCTGACCATTCCTCCTCAAACCCATGCACTTATTTTTTTATTTTTCAAAGATCTATCCATCCCTGCATACAGGAATGGAGATGTAGGCTAGAGGTGTGGGGGGTGAGAGGACTCACCAGAGACAGAGAGGGGAACAGAACAGGCAGATTGACTGAAATACACTGCTGAGGGGAGCAGCGGAGAGTCAGGAGAGGTCCACTGTGTCATGTGGGTAGCTCCCTGGCCAGGGATCGAACTCGTGTTGCAGTGGCTGTGGATAGCTTCATAGGTTGCATCTTAACCCCTTGCACCACCAGGGAGGCCCAAACCCATGCACTTTATTTTTTTTTATGTATTTCTCTTTTTCCTTTTTTAAAAAGATTTTTTATTTTTGCATACAAGAGCTGGGGTACAGGCCAGAGATGCGGGAGGTGAGAGCATTCACCAGAGACAGAGTGGGTAGCAGAACAGGCAGACTGACTGAAATACACTGCTGAGGGGAGCAGCAGGCAAGGCAGGAGAGATCTGCTGCACCATGTGGGTTGCTCCCTGGCTGGCCAGGAATTGAACTCATGCTGCATAGGTTACAGATTGCTTCACAGTGTGGTGCTTTACCCCTTGCGCCACCAGGTTGGCTCCAAACCCATGCACTTTAAAGTGAACACTGACCCCTCCCCCATCCCCCCCAAGCTGCCCTGACAAGACCAGTGTCTGCTGCATCTAATTACCTGCTCACATCCCTCAGTGTCTGCTGCATCTAATTACCTGCTCACACCCCTCAAGTGTCTGCGTGCCCTCTGCTGTGTTCCTGACACTCTGGCCATTCTCCACTGGGATTATTTTACTCACATTATTCCACACATACCAGCCATAATGTGTTGCTCCAGCCCTATGCGCTTTTTTAAATTCTACATCTGTCCCCGGACACCTCCAGTTGCACATCCCACAGGAGCCTCATCATCAGCTGGTCCAAATAAAACTCACGACTTCCTCCTGCACACCCGCTCCGCCCCGGTTCTTGGTGAAAGGGAATCTTACTCACCCCCTCCTCTAGCTGAGAGCTCAGTCACAGAACTCACTCTCCTATTATTTCTGATCAGTGAGCAGGACCTGATACTTTGCCTCTTGAATCTCTCCCTGTTCCCACTTTGTCCCCCTGTCCACTATAATAGGTAAGTCAGGTCGCTCTTTCCCAGCCTGGGTGAATGCGGTGGCCCCTAACGTTTCTCCAGCCTCAGTTTTGCCTCCTTTCATTCATCCCTTGCCTAAGCCTGAAACTTACAAGGTCACAGGATGACGTCCTGTCTTCCTGACTTGATATGTGAGGCTTGTTAAGATGTGACCCCTGCTTTCCTAAGCAGTTTCCTCTCAGGCCCCTTCTCTCTCTCTCTCTCTCTGTCTCTCTTTTTTAAATATAGCTTAAACCCAGAAGGTCTAATTCCTCTCTCTTCCTCCTTCCTCCTCCTTCCTTCCTTCCCTTCCTCCTTCCTTCCTTCCTTCCTTCCTTTCCTTCCTTCCTTCCTTCCTTCCTTCCTTCCTCCCTTCCTCCCTTCCTTCCTTCCTCCTTCCTTATTTCTTTTTTAAAAATATTTATTTATTTATGCATACAAGAGCTGGGGTACAGGCCAGAGATGCGGGGGGTGAGAGGATTCACCAGAGACAGAGTGGGGAGCAGAACAGGCAGACTGACTGAAATACACTGCTGAGGGGAGCAGCAGGAGAGTCAGGGGAGGTCTGCTGCGCCGTGTAGGTAGCTCCCTGGCCGGCCGGGTATCAAACTCGTGCTTCAGAAGCTGTGGTTTACTTCATAGTGCTGTTCTCTTGAGCCACTCTTATGGCTTTTATCGTGGTGATTTCATTGCCTTTTTGTGTTGCATAGTTCTTTTTTTTTTTTTTTAAGATTTATTAGTTTATTTATACAAGCACTGGGTACAGTCAGAAGTGCGGGAAGGTGAGAGAATTCACCAGAGCCAGAGCAGGGAGCAGAGCAGGCAGAAGGACCGAAGTACACTGCTGAGGGGAGCAGTGGGCAGCAGGAGAGGTCTGCGCACCATGCGGGACCCATCCTCTGGTGGCTGGGGAGCAGCCGGGGATCGAACCTGCACCGCAGAGGCGCGGACAGCTTCGCAACCCAGAGCTCAACCACTGGGGAGGCCCTGTGTTGCATATTTCATCTTGTATAATAATTGCATATTATCAAGTGAAATAAAAATGCAAAAATAAATAATATTTGCACCCATGAGTTGGATATTCTCTTTCTCCACAATTTTCTTCATGACCCAGTAGTCATTGTGTTTTCTCAACAATTTCACCATAACCACACCCTCTTTTTGTCCCTTCTCATTTCTGCTCTGTTGGAAGTTGAGGAAACTGTGATGAGTTGAGGGCATAAAAAGGAACTGGGGGCATCTGCTCAGTCCTTGGAGACTTACCCTGGACTCCACATTTCTCTCAGCACCAAAACTGCAGAGGACTCTGGGCCTACCATTCCTCTCCATTCCCCCAGCAGTTTCTTTCACATGGTGACTAGACTCCATCTCATTCCTTACTGATCTGAACCCATTGGCTTCTCCACCTCACCCACAACTTCTACAACCGCACACCACTCTGCTCACTATTCACCTCAAAGAAGCCCCAAGTCCTGATTTCCAATGTATTTATATCAGCATACAGCAGTGTCCCTGTTCCCAGAGCATTTTCCTGTGCTACCTCTCCTTTCACCTCCTTCTCAGCTACCACAACTCTCACCTGCTCTCTAAGACTCACTTTCTTCTCTCATCTGTAGGCATGATTCCCACAGCTGAGCTGCCCTTGTCAAATTCTCCATCTAAATGATGAATGTCAGAAAAAATGAATGTCAGGATGGGTGGGCCATGGCTTGTCCTCACTACTCACCTTGGCGCCTCACATTGACCAGCACTATTCCAGGGAAGGGGTCCTGCCTGGTTCTGTGGAAGAACCTGACCTGGAGCACAGATTCTACAACATGATCTTGGAGTCCTGATCATAATTTCCCCTTTCTGATCTTTAATATTGACATGTCATCTTTTTTTTAATTAAAAAAAGTAAATATTTTTACTTTAAATAAATAATTATTTATTTATTTATGCACACAAGAGCTGGGGTACAGACCAGAGGTGTGGGTGGTGAGAGGAATCACCAGACACAGAGTGGGGAACGGAACAGGCAGACTGACCGAAACACACTGCCGAGGGGAGCTGTGGGCAAGTCAGGAGAGGTCTGCTGCACCATGTTGGGTTGCTCCCTGGGTGGCCGGAGACCGAACTTGTGCTGCAGAGGCTGTGGATTGCTTAATAGTGCAGTGCTTAATCCCTTGTGCCACCAGGGAGGCCCAAACATGTCATCTTGATGACCCCTCTGTGAGAATGTTGTCCTCCTAAATCATTCTAGACCATCAGAAACCACTGGGACCAGAGGCACACCTGGAACTCTTCTCTGGAGGGAGTTGAGGCCCCTGGATAATGTTGGAGCCCCAAAGCCTTTCTCAGGGAGTGGGCCCACATGAGGAAGCCCCGGGGCACTCCCCTGAGGCAGGCCCTCCAAGAGCAGCAACTCTGCACTAACCTGGGATGTCTCTGCCCTGAGCCAAACGGGAGCTCAGCATTGCCAGGGTCATAGTCAGAGCTGTCATCCAGGGGGCCCAATGACCTGCAGGACCACCATTCTGGGCGCTGGGCAAGGACAGGGACTGAGGAATTGCAGTCAGAGCAGCTCACCACCGTGGGCCCCACTGCTAAGATGTCAACGCTGATAAGCCAGGCCAGGCTTCTGCACCCCCTTGGGTATGGCCAGATTCCAAAAATGAACCAATAAGTGGGAATCATCCTTCTCCAGGCAGAGATTTGGTGCAAATCATGTCATTCTTCAAGGTGTAAGAGTCACTGAAGACAGAATAAGGAAAAGGATCCTCATTTTGAGCAACTGGGTGAGTCATAAGGCTTGATTATTTTGTTTTGCTTCCTTAGGAAATCTCCCCAGGCATGGCATTCGTCCTCGATGGTGGCTGCCTGCCCCCTGGTGGATGTTTTCTGGGATGGAGTGAGTCGTAAGCATGGTAATGAAGATCAGGGGGATACACCACCTGCCCAAGTTCTGAGTTAGTCCTGGGGGCTCTAGCAGGTGTCCGCAGTGTCCGGGCAGCATCGCTCTCTCGGGGCTTCCTTAGCCCTTTGAGGTATGAAGGATGTGGAATGAGGCATCTGGGTTTTACTATCAGGTAAGGCATGGATGCTTACAACTTCAAGCCCATTTCTTTTTATTGGGTCACAGTTTCTTCATTTTTGAAGTGTGGAGGATGGCATTTGCCTTCTTAGTGGCTCTGTGAAGGTCCAACGAGAGCTTACTTATAAATGCCTTACACATGTTTTGGAGTTTTTGAATAGACCAATGAAATTATCAAAGGCCATCCTTTCTTTCTGCAATTTAATATGCATGCTTTCTAGTTTTGAAATATCAAATTATCCCCAACAAACAAATTTACAGCTAAATCTTCAAATGATGTAAATATATTCCCTCTGATTACAAAATCTAAAAGGGAAAATGACAAAATGAATATATTCCAACAGATTTCCTAGATATGTAAATAAAATGTTGATGAACTGAATAAGAGAATATAAAATTATTTAACTTAGGTTTTCTATTAGGAAAAAGGATGCTTATAGTAAAGTGGTCAGATACAGACTTCCTAGAGTGAAATTCTCTTTCCTGATACTTTGTGGCCATGGACAAGTTATTTAACCTGTTGTGACTTAGTTTTCCCTCATGTAGAATGGAGACTACCATAGAGTCTGTCACTGGTTTATTGGGGAATCCGGATGGGATAATATGCAGCATTTGTAAATCTCTTAAAACAGAGTCTTTTATAGTAAGGAATTAAGAAATGTTCATTATTACAATGCAAGGCTAGCTCAGAACACCAAAAACCTCTTCATGCAATACAACATATTATTTAATCCAATAATAGAAGTTTTATCATTTTAAAAGAACTACCAGAGAAATACAGTTCCAAACCACCCTGTAAAGAAACTGAGTATTTAAAGAAGGTTCTGCCATTAGACTTAATGCAAAATGATTAGAAAAATTGATTTTAAAAATAAGATTTAAATAAGTGTCATATCACCATATGAAGAAGAAATAAAGGGAGTGATAATTAGCAATGAAACAATTAAACATATTTGTCTTCTGCTTATTTGTCTAGAAAGATCAAAGGATTTCCCTAAAATTGTAAAGGTATTCATGGAATATTACTCAGCATTCAAAAAAGATAAACACATGCAATTTGCAGCAGCATGGATGGCGCTGGAAGGGATCATGCTCAGCGAAATAAGCCAGAAAGAAAAAGAAAAATACCGATGGTCTCACTCATAGCAGGAATCTAGAAAACTTAAATAAGGGACCAGGAAAATGAATAACTATAAGAAAGTGAAAATCAAAATCAACAAAAAACTATGAACCAGAGACACTTTTTGGGGGTGGGGGCGGGAGGGGAGGGATTGGGATCAGAATGGGGGGGTTGCAATTGTATGGGGAATATAAAAATAAACTTTATTATTTAAAAAAATAAAATTGTAAAGGTATAAAATGGTAAATGTCATTTGATAATAATCCAATGAATTCATAAATGGAACTAAGAACCAATATGAAATTTTGAAGAACAATTGTCCAGTTCTAATGTCAATACAAGTAAAAAGGATCAACTTAAATGACTTTTTCCAAACAACCCAAGTAAGAGGCAGGTGATTACCCTTCTCATTTTACTTTTCCTCATCTTATCTCCAATCCCACATAGCCTGGGATTCTCTGGGCCACGTTGGTTCTGACAGTTTTCTCATTTCCTCTCCTGGCATCTTCTTTTAGCATCTTCTTTTTCAGCCACAGAGATGCTCCTTCTGACATTTCTCGTTGGCTAAGTCTCATCAACTAGTTTGACCTCCAAGCCTTCTAGGGAAATAAAGCCTGGACCCAGCGCCCCCTGCCCTGCCTCATCTCCCCTCTGTCTGCCTCGCAGTGGCCACTTGGAAGACACAGGAGCCAGGCCAGTCCCATGATCCTGCAGGCCATCACCCTGGCCGCCCCCTGAGTCCCCCGGGACCTGGGCCATCAGGGGTGAGTGCTGGGGGAGGGGGAGGGGAGCTAGCAGAGATTTGGGGGCCCTCAGGTGCTGCTTTCTGTCCTGTTTCTCTCCCCCGTTTCCTCTCGTGTGAGGTCATCTTTTGCTCGCTGTCATTCTAACAGTAACAGCCACCCTAGATGGTGCCAAACCTCATTTAAATTTCACAACAGCCTTTCAGGAAGGCATTTATTATTCTAAGTTTAGAAATGAAAAGACTGAGACTTAAGGATATTGGCCCATGTCTCACCAGCCCCGTGCACAGTGCTGATGAGGGAGAGCCCGGCTCCTCTGGATGTGTTCTGTGGGTCTCCTAAATTTCAGCGCAGAGTCCCTGACACAGGCGTCTGCAGTGTGTGGCTTTGGCCTCTCTTGTTTCATTCAGTCCTCAACCCACCGCATCCTCCCTTTGCCTCTCCGTCTTGGTGCTCTCTAGGGAGGCTGTTACCTGTCTCCACACCAGCAGAACCCACATCCCTTCTGTGCGGATGACAGCGTCATTACTGATACCGTGACGTGACCACTTCCTCCTTTCTGGAATTTTTCTGTTCCTACTTTTTAAAAAAGATTTATTTATTTATTTACACAAGCACTGGGTACAGTCAGAAGCACGGGAGGGTGAGAGAATTCACCAGAGCCAGAGCGGGGAGCAGAGCAGGCAGAAGGACCGAAGGACACTGCTGAGGGGAGCAGCGGGCGGCAGGAGAGGTCTGCGCGCCATGTGGGACCCTCCTCCGGTGGCCGGGGAGCAGCCGGGGAGCAGCCGGGGATCGAGCCTGCGCTGCAGAGGCTGCGGGCAGCTTCGCAGCCCAGCGCTCAACCGCTGCGCCACCAGGGAGGCCCTGTTCCTAGTTTTTATGAGTATGCTTCCTCCTTGCTTTTTCCGATTCTTTAGCCTTTTGTCTTTCAGTCTTTTGAAAATTGTCTGTGTTTGCCAGGACGCAAGACCACGCACTCCCGACCCTCTCCGGTGAGCTCATCCGAACTTGCCGTCATGACCCTCAGCCTTGGCACCAGCCTGCAGCCCACCCATTTAGTTCAGCTGCCCTCAAACCAACTCCATGTTGTTCCCCAGGAAGGTATCTGAGCATGTCCCAAACAGAACACTCTGTCTCCTCTCACCCTTTTCCTCCGTTGTCTTTTTAGTCACTGACGCCCCAGTTCCTCACATCTGGAGTGGTCATTGTGAACTCCAGTGTCCTGACTCCACCACACCATCTACAGATTCTGTGGCTTCTCATCTCTTAATGCCATTCAAAGCCCTCAGCTCTTCTCCAGCCCTGTGGTACCGCCCCATCTCCACCTTCACTGCTGTGGGGTCCTATTGTTCTTCTTTCCAAACTAGCTTCCTCCAATCCAGTATCCCCCTGTGCCACTGCCAAGCGCAGTCTGGTCCTGCTACTCGCTTTATTAAGGTCCTGTGACGATTTTCCTGTGGGCGCTGGGATAAAATGCAAACCCCATTGTTAGGGACTGGTGGGTCACGATTAGCCCCTTGCAACATCGCCCCTCAGCTCCAGTCATAGTGAAGAACAGACGCTTCTTCATGCGGGTTTCATGTCTGGCTGCTTTCGAGCCTGCTGCTCCTGCTGGAAATGCCATTTTCCCCTTTCTTGGCTCTGCGCTTCCTGGGAAGCCTCGCTCCAAGCTCACTTGGATTTTAACTCTCTGTTTTTGCTCCTAAGTAGCACCTTGTGTATACCTTGGGATAATTTAGCAACAATAAACCACATATGTAGCATTGTCTTTTCTTTGTCTCATTCTTTGGATTTTCTAGCAACTTGAGAATCGGGAGGAGATCTTCTGAGTTAAATCTTTAGTGCTAGAGAGTGAACATTCACAACACGATTTTTTTATTTTTTTATGTCATCTTTATTTTTAAATTTTTATTTAGATATGTTTTACATCATTGTTTAATTTTTTCATTTTAATTTATTTTATTTTATGTAGTTCTTACATCATTTTTCATTTTTGCACAATGTGTGCATTTTCACTTTGGTTATATTCCCCATACAATTCCCACCCCCCCTTATTTTGACCCTAATCCCTCCTCTCCTCCACCCCTCCCCCTCAGTAGTGTGCCTCTGGTCTACAGTTGCTACACAATAAGATTTTTTACTGAATAAAAATTAGTATTTGTAGTATAGTTTGCTTCAGGATGCACAGATATTTAGTTTTAAGAGCTTATGAAAATGATAAAAATGAAATATTGGAAGTGAATAAACTATACCCACAGAGCCAATTTTTCCCTTTCAACTTTTTTCCTGTGATTCTCTAGCCACAAAATCCAGTCAGGGATCCCAAGCACTTGTGAGTGACTATGAATCCTGTCATTAAAAGTCTCAGGCGAGGATTAGTCTCTGTGTGTTGGGGCTGCAAGGGTGAATCACTACTTAGGGAGACAGAGAACCCCCTAGTGTGATTTTTCCTTAGATCCTCTGTCTCGGTCAACATCAAACTCTCTCATTTCTGTTATTTCACTGTAATAATAATAGTTTTTATTGGTGTCAACCTCTTGCTGCTTCTTACACATCAGTTAAAACGAAGAACTAATCCCAGTAACATCTCAGGTTGCAGTTAAATGCAGCAACTTTATTTCTAATGAAAACTCCACTTGCCAGCATATATTCAGCAAGAAAATTTGGAAATGTTGTGTAGACGATAATACTTTTAGATTTAATGTGCCTAAAACGATAACTTTATGAATAGAATTATATAACCTGCTGATTTTATTCTAAAACTAAGAAAGTAACTTGAAGTCTATAAATAGCACCTTGACTCTGGAGGTCTTTTCATTTCCCTCACTATTTAAAATATTTTCCACTCAGAAAGATTTGAATTTTACTCTCCCCTCACCAGCTCTGTGTTTGTATCACTGATTTTATGTGTCTGGACCAAAAGGATGCCAAGATCTTGAGGGGTGGGGGCGGGCAGGTGATGGCTCAATACTGCTTCTACCAGGAGCTGTGTGGCCTTGGAGAGGAGCCTTAACGCCTGTGGTCAGTTCCCTAAAGCACAAAATAATGCTCTACTTGGGGGCATGAAGAGTGGTGAACAAATTGAGCACATAGTAAGTCCTCAATGAATAGTATCTTATTACTGTACTCAGTGCTATTATTATTGTACTGGAGAGAGAGATGCTGAAGACTTCAGGAACAAGGGAAGCAGCTTGAATTTTCTTTTCTTTTCTTTTCTTTTTTAAAGATTTATTTATTTATGCATACAAGAGCTGGGGTACAGGCCAGAGATGCGGGAGGATGAGAGGATTCACCAGAGACAGAGTGGGGAGCAGAACAGGCAGACTGACTGAAATACACTGCTGAGGGGAGCAGCGGGCAAGACAGGAGAGGTCTGCTGCACAGTGTGGGTAGCTACCTGGCCAGCCGGGGATCAAACTCGTGCTGCCGAGGCTTCAGATTGCTTCATAGTGCAGTGCTTAACCCCTTGTGCCACCAGGGAGGCCCCAGCAGCTTGAATTTTCAGAAAGTCATTTCTGTTTCTTCTATCCCCTTTGTTTTACACTTCTTTTTTTTTTTTTTGTTTTATTTATTTATTATTTATTTATTTATTTATTATAAATTTTATTTTTATATTCCCCATACAATTGCGACCCCCTTGTTTTGACCCCAATCCCTCCCCTCCCCGCCCCCACCCCCCATAGAGTGTCTCTGGTTCATAGTTCTTTGTTGATTTTGATTTTTACTTTTTTTTTTTTTTAAAGATTTATTTATTTATTTATTTATTTTTACAAGCACTGGGTACAGTCAGAAGAGCGGGAGGGTGAGAGAACTCACCAGAGCCAGAGCGGGGAGCAGAGCAGGCAGCAGGAGAGGTCTGCACGCCATGCAGGACCCTCCCCCGGTGGCCTGGGAGCAGCCGGGGATCGAACCGGCACCGCAGAGGCTGCGGGCAGCTTCGCAACCCAGCGCTCAACCGCTGCGCCACCGGGGAGGCCCTGTTTTACACTTCTTGATTTGTGTTAGTCCTCCGTATCTCTAATAAACTTCTCTTTATTAACTTGCTTTATTTTCCTACCCATCCTCTAGCCCCCCCTTCTCCCAATGCAATGGACCATACCTCAGCGTATGCCGAGTTTGTCCAGACACACAGAACTTTTGGGGAGCACATGTTTGAATTTGATGAGGATGAGGAGTTCTATGTGGACCTGGATAAGATGGAGACCATCTGGCACCTGCCGGAGTTTATTCATGCCTTTGACTATGATCCTTGGAGGGGAATTGCTGCCATCATCATGGCAAGGAAGAACTTGAAGAAAATGATTGAACACTCCAACCACACCAGAGCCACTAATGGTACCTGCCCTTGCTTGTTTCTCTGCAGTCCAGCTTCAGGGTGGTGGAGTCCCCTGCCACACACAATGGGAGACCCAGATGCCCCTTCGTGAATGACGCCCCACCATGGAGTGTGCCGTATTTGGTCCCCAAAGTCAGGCACTTGGTCATCAGAGGAGACATTTTACTATTTCAGAAAAAGATGGGGCTGAGGGCCCTAGGCCAGGAATGTGAGGCAATATGGCTCTGACTTGGGAGTCCCAGGGGTGGGAGTGGGGGGAGAGAAGGGTGGGCCTGAGAGTGGTGGCCCAGAATTTAGAGAATATAAGGGCTGGGCTGGTAGAAACTTTGAGACTCAGCCAAAGGCAGTAGACTCAGCAGGTCCTGTTTCTCCTCAGAGCCCCCTGAGGTGACCGTGTTTCCCAAGGAACCCATGGAGCTGGGCCAGCCCTCATCTGCCATGCAGACAAGTTCTTCCCGCCAGTGCTCAATGTAACGTGGCTGCACCAGAGTGTCGCCATGCGTGTGGCTGAGGGCATCTTTCTGCCCAACACAGAATTCACATTCCACAGCTTCCACTACCTGACCTTCCTCCCCACAACTGAGAATGTCTACGACTGCAGGGTGGAGCACTGAGGTCTGGACGAGCTGCTCCTGAAGCACTGGGGTATGGACCCCCTCTACAGTCACCATCCCAACACCAGCTGTATTTCTATGGTCCATCCCTCAGCACCTGCTTTCCTTAATCTCATGTTTTATGGTCATTTTATCCAGACTTTGACATCTTATGGTTCTCTTTTGGTAATACCCCTGGCACCTACGCTAAGCTCCTGTTCTTCTGACTGTCTTTCCTCTGTGCCCCAGAGGCCTGGGAGCCCATCCAGGTGCCTGAGACAATAGAGACTGTGGTCTGTGCCCTGGGCCTGCTGGTGGACCTGGCGGGCATCATTACTGCCACCATTGTCCTGTGGAAAGAACCAGCGGGCCTTTCTACATGCTGGGGCAGGAGCCACTGTGAGTCATCCTGGTTTGGGGGTGCTGGGGACACAGTGCTAAGGGCAAGTAGATGTTCCAGGTGGTGGATGGGAAGGAGAAACACCTCAGCGGGGTGCTTGGAGCACCTCATGTTTTGGAGTCATTAAACTAGATGCCAACAACAAAATGATAACATCTGATAACATCAGATGAGCTGCTTACTGTGCACCCAACACTGTTCTCCATGCTTCTTTTGTATTCAATTATTTAAACTTGGAGTTTGGTACTGTTACTTTCCCTATGTTAGAGAGGGGGTTACAAAAGGGAGGTGAAGGAATCTGTTTGAGGTCACACAGCTTGGGTGGTGCAGAATTTGTGTGGGAAGGAACCCAGGCATTGCACCCCAGAGGCTGCAGTCTTGTCCAATGTGTAGATCACATCACTGGCAGCCACAATTATCTCTTTCCTTACAATCTTCATAGCCATGATTTCCTCTGTCCTCAAATCAGTGTCTTGAACTTCTCATACTGTTAGACATTTATGATAATAAAAGACATCCTACTATTTATATCATCTCAAAGGGAATGCATCTGGTTTTTCCATAAATACATTGCCTACAGATTTTTTGTTTATAATCTTTACAATGTGGTGAGATTTATTGAATTCTGTTCATGTATTTATTGAATTCAGCTCATGTTAACTGAATTTTCTTTTTTTATCTGATATGTTGGCCATATTATAGCTTGTTAGACACTAAGCCAACATTGAATTCTTAGGATAAGTCTTATTTGAGCAAATGAATTATTTCTATAATAAACTATTGAATTCAATGGCATTGGTGAAATTATTCCATAATTTTCTTCATTTGTGCTATCCTTACCTGTGCTATCTGGAAGTAAAGGTGTAACAACTTCATGAAATGATTTGGAAAGCTTATGTTCCTTTTGATGTTCTAGAACAACACGTGTAAGAGACGAAGGGCTTGTTCCTTGAGATGTGATTGTGGACTCGCCAACTGTAAAGTTCTCAGGACAGAGGCCTTGGGAAGGTATTCTTTGCTCCCAACTCAACATCCAGTATTTATCCTCTATTTTAGCATTCTATTTTTTCCTGTAGTTTGACCTTTATATCTTTCCAGAAATGTATCCATCTTATTAAAATTTCAGATTTATTGACAAGAGTTGATCATAACAAGTTATTTTCATGTAGAAGTCTTGGTGTGTACAGCGATCAGTCCTTTTTCATTCTGAATCACATTTATCTCCTTGGACAGTCTTGCCAGAGGTCTATTGACCTCTTTAAACTTTCTATTGAATCAGAATTTGATTTTGCTTATCTTCCCTGTGTTTTGTTTTCTATTTCACTGAATTCTGCCCTTGTCTTTATTATTTACATATTTTTTTAAACTTTTGCTGTATTCTTATTTTTCCATTCTCTTTATGGAAATGATTAGCTCATTTTTGGTAGGCAGGTTCTCTTTGAATATGAAGTTTTCCATCACTTATATTTTAATTTCCATGGTTATTTTAATTGCATGTTTTAGGTATATGGAATTAATTGATTTGTCCTTTTTAATTGATTTAGAATTCAATTACATTATGGCCAAAGAATAAAGCTTATATGATACTGATTAATTTGAATATATTGATGCTTCCTTTGTGGCTTAATAAGTGTTAAGTTTTCAGAAATATTACATGTGTTTTTGGAATTCATGTGTATATTCTTTTTGTTGGTTCCAGAAATCTCTATATAACCAATTCTTTGATCCTAATATTTAATCATTTTACTTCGGTCTATATCTCTGTTTTCTCTTGGTTTCAGCTCTTAGTTTTTGAGCATATGTTAAAACCTATGGCTTAATTTTTAATTTTTAGTGTCTTTCTCCATGTGTTTCTGTTATTTGTTGCTCTTATATTTTGTGGCTTTATTTTCAGGGACATATGTGTTCATGATTATTATTGTTCCCTCATCTAGTTTTTTTTATAATTTTAATTCTCTTTTGGCAGATATTAAATTTATGTCAACTATCTTTGTTTCATATCTGCCTGAAGTGCCCTTTTCCATTATTAAATTTTCAACCTTTCTATATTCTTTTATTCTGTTTGACTTTGTTAGATTTTGTTGAAAATACAATCTGAGAGTCTCTTCTTTTTAATTAATTGTTTAACCCATTCAATTTATTACAATTAGTATTATATTAAAACTTCACTATCACATTATTAAAATGGTTTATTTAATATCCTTTATTTGTATTCATTTTTCTCATTTCTTATTTCATAAAAGCTAGGCCAAATTTTGCTGTTATAAAAGTTATGTATTCTAATTATACTCACAAGATGGTTTAACATAATACACTTAATTACATTTATTTACTCTACTGATTAAAAAAACCTGATGAATTCCTACATTCTCCTTGCCCCACAAAAGAAGTATTTTTGTTTCTCTGTTATCAACACTGATATCTCCTCTATGGTGATATTAACTACATTTTTAGTTTTAGTTTGCTTTAAATACACTTTTTTCTTACCTTTTAAAAAATTTAGTGCTACTGTTAAGATAACAATAGGGTCTCCCTGGTGACCTTGGGGTTGAGTCTCTATGCTGTAACCTTCACTGCCTGAGTTCAATCCCTAACCAGGGAGCTAACCCACATAGTGCAGCAGATCTTTCCTGTCTCACCTGCTGCTCCCCTTAGCAGTGTATTTCAGTAAATCTGCCTGTTTTGTTCCCCACTCTGTCTCTGATGAGTCCTCTCACCACCCTGGGGATCTCTGGCCTACACCTTAATTCTTCTATGCAAAAATAAATAAATAAAATATTTTAAAAATAATTTTAAAATAAAGATAATAATAAACTTTGTTAAATTATTTGATCTTTCTTACTTTCCACTTCTGTAGCATTCTCTTGGATGTGTTCTTCTTATTTGGGTGCTTTAGAAAAAGCAAAACATCTAATGTTGAAATGTTTGAACATTAGTTGGGGGTGAACATTAGTTGGGATATAATTTCAGGATTGAAAGATTTTTTTTCTTCAAGTCCATGAAAGTAACATCCAATTGTTTTCTGGCATTAAGTGTTACTGGTGATTACTGTCTGTCTCTCTGATTCTTGTTCTTTCACGGATGGGTCTGCTCTTATTTTCTTATAGGTGCACTGCTCTCTCCTCAAGTATTTAGAATTACAGTTCTTACAATACATCAAGATATGTACGTTTTTTAATATAATGGTTTAAAAATCTATTTGTCACTCTGTACCATTTCAAACTATTTCATGTTTCTTCAAAGTCTAGAAATCTATTCTTTTTGCAGATATTTTGTCTCCCTTTGATATTTCCCCCACTTTCTACATGTCTTTTTATCAAGATGTCAGAACACCTGTTTCTATCCTCTATGTCTCTTTGTTTTTTCTTTTATACATCCTATTGTTTAATCTTTCATACTGCCCTTAAGAGAGGTTCTTAGTCTTATCTCATTATTTTCACTTCTAAAAGCCTCACTAATTATCTTACTTAAATGTTCTTTATTACAACCATTATTAAAACTCACTATTTATGCTTGATTCGTTGGTTTCTTTTTTTTTTTCAAGATTTATTTTTATTTATTTATTTATACAAGCACTGGGTACACTCAGAAGAATGGGAGGGTGAGAGAATTCACCAGAGCCAGAGCGGGGAGCAGAGCAGGCAGAAGGACCGAAGTACACTGCTGAGGGGAGCAGCGGGCGGCAGGAGAGGTCTGCGCGCCATGTGGGACCCTCCTCCGGTGGCCGGGAGCTGGGGATCGAACCGGCGCTGCAGAGGCTGCGGGTAGCTTGCAACCCAGCGCTCAACCGCTGCGCCACCGGGGAGTCCCGATTTGTTGTTTTCTTGTTTTAGCTTCAAATTGCCAACATCCTTCTTTACTTCACTTTTTATATCTTTTTATTGTAAACCAGAAAACATACGTAATACACAAAACAACATGTACAAGCAATGACTACCAGGCAAATACCCATGTAACTAGTGCTTCAGTCAAGATATAGAACTGTGCCAGCATCCCGAGGCCTTCCTTAGGCCAGGAGAAGATTGTACACACATCTATGGCCATACCAACTTCATTGTGTCTATCTGATATTGGAAAATAAATAGCTTTGGGTCTGGTTAGCACTTAGACTGGGGTGTAAACCGTTCAGGGATCAGAAGCTCCTTTTTACCTAGTTTTACCCAGCATAGTTCCTGGTTCATAGTAGGTTCTATAAATACATGTATCTGGTGTAAGTGAGTAAATTTATTCATTATTTAATATTTATAGAATATTTTCCATCTCTAAAGAGTCCAACCCACTTCAAGTTAGATGCAGTCAAGCAGCTACTTGACTACTTCTAGAAGGGTCACTGAGGGCCAGTGAAGAACCAGGTTCTCTTCACTCAGCTGGGGTGATGACGGGAGCCCTTGTGAAGATGGAGGTGTGTCAGCCTGGCTCCTGAGTACCTGTGGTCAGCAGAGCTACCTGCTGACTCATGTTATACAAGTAGCCTGAGCAAAAACTATCAGAGCATTTGTTACAGCAATGCTACCTGTCTTTTTCTTACTATATACTAAAGGGATAGAAAGGTAGTGCTCAAAGACTTCAACAAAGCAGAGAGGCAGGAGAATTAGAAAAGTTGTATCGCATAAATGAAGAGAGTAGAAGTCTCAGGAAGGAGAAAATAGTTAACAGTATTAGAGGTTCCTAAGCTGTCAACTACAATAAGTGTCCACTGGGCATGGAATTAAGTGATTTTTTTTTAAAGATTTATTTATTTTTGTACAAGAACCAGGGTAGAGGCCAGATGCACAGGAGGGTGAAAAGATTCACCGGAGACAGAGTAGGGAAGAGAACAGGCAGACTGACGAAATACACTGCTGAGGGGAGCAGCAGGTGAGATAGGAGAGGTCTGCCTCTCCATGTGGGATTCTCGCCAGCTGACCTGGATCGAAGTCACGCTGCAGAGGCTGCAGACAGCTTCACAGTGCAGCACTCAACCACCTGTGCCACCAGGGAGGCCTGAATTAAGTGATTTTGTAGCCCTATTAAAGAGCAATTTCTTACACTGTGCCCAGTTTCACATTGTTCATGTAACAAGCATAAACTATTAGTTTCCTTCCTTCAACTTTCAGCATCTGTTTGCTGGGCCTCACTTTCTCTGGAGTTTCAGAGTTTCAGAGTTTCAGCGTGGGCTGTGCAGAGCTGGAGGGAGGGAAATGACATCTCATTTGAGTGCCCACTTTCTCGCAAATCCTCATCGGGGGCAGTGACATTTGCTGGAGAGACCACCTCAGGTCCTCTGAGGGAAGGAAATGAGGGGAGCAGGTGCACAGGGCTGGAGGATGCAATGCTAAGCTGGGAGCTCAAACCCCACTGTTTGTCCTGCTGCAGGTGATGACCTTTCTGTGATGGAAGAGCATGGAGGGGAGTCCCCAGCATCAGCTCTTCTTTAAAGCTTCAGTTCCTTTGATCTCTGTGCTCAACACCACTGATTGATGTCCTCAAAGACCCCTGATTGCAGTCTGTTTGCTGTCCTCATACTTAGCACCCTGGAAAGGGCCTGGCACATAGGAAGAACTCAATACATGTTGAAATTTGAAGTATGGTGATATGGTGGGCCATATCACCCTGTCTCCTCTGTGACTTTCCCTATGCTACATCCTTTCTGAGCAATCCCAGACATCAATAAGTGCTGCTGTGGGTCAGAGCTAGATCTGTCTCATGCTTCTTTGACACTCCAGGGTCTTCCCTGGTCTCTTTGTATCTTCATCTCCTTGAAGTACATATCCTGGGCTGTAACATGAGGCAATACTGCAGCTTCTGATCCTTCCAGGAGGCAGGTCTAGAGATTGTCCACTCTGCCTGGCGTCCTTTCCCTGAAGTACAGGGAAAAGGGCTTTTGGTGCTCACTAAGGGGATGATTACTCTGAACTATTCCTCACATTGTCTCTGTGAGCTGTTACCTCCTTTGACAATCCTCCCTCTTATTTCACCCAGAATTTTAACCTTCTGGACTCTAAACTCCAGGAGGTTCCCTTTCCAACTCCCCCCATCTGCCCCACAGAGCAGCAGATGCTCTGTTTTGCAAGTTTCCCAAAAGAAAGTGGTTGAGCCTTTAGCAACTCATTGTCTTTTTTTATACCACGACCCTCTTTGTCCCAGAGTGCAGAAATCATTAAGGTGGAGGTGACTTCAGGAGAAGTTCCCTTAGCATCCTATTGTAGTGGTCCCACTGGGCCTTCTGCTCTCCCCCGCCATCCTACCAGGACTTATTTCCCTCATTGTCCTTCAGGGACATCTGCAACCCCCTTTGGAGATCCCCTGTTTGTTAGATGGTTTACTCATATCTGAATTCCAACTCTGGATTTAAGTCATATTTAGCATCAAATTATTCCCTAGAATTTATAGTTGGTCCCTGATATGCGGCAAATACACTCTTGCTTAAACAGAAAACCAAAGTGACAAAGTGACAAATTGAATATAGGTTTCTAACACATAATATATGTTTGTAACACATTAAATAAAATAAGGGTAAATTAATTTAAAGCATAAAAATTATTTAACTTGAAATTTCTCTTTGAATGAAGATAAAGTCTGGTAAAGTGGTCAGGCACCAGTTTAGAATAAAATGTGCTTTTCTGCTACTTCTTGGTTTTCTGACCATGGACAAGATATTTAACCTGTCATGACTTAGCTTTCTTTCAGGTAGCTATTATGGAGGATAGTTTATTGGGATTGGTTTATTGGGAGATCTAACTGGGATAACAGCACTTGTGACTAACAGTACTAGTGACTCATGTAAAATAGAGCCTTTCACACAGTAAGGAATCAAGAAATGTTAATTATCACAAAGTATGGCTAATTCAAAACAAAAATGACAAGTAAATATGACACACAATTTTAATATTATCAGTTCCATAATTTTATTTTTTTTAAATATTTATTTATGCATACAAGAGCTGGGGTACAGGCCAGAGGTGTGGGGGCTGAGAGGATTCACCAGAGACAGAGTGGGGAACAGAACAGGCAGACGGACTGAAATACACTGCTGAGGGGAGAAGCGGGTGAGACAGGAGAGGTCTGTTGTGCCATGTGGGTTGCTCCCTGGACGGCCGGGGATCAAATTCATGCTGCAGAGGCTGCGGATAGCTTCACAGTGCTGTGCTTAACCCCTTGGGCCACCGGGGAGGGCCCCCAGTTCCATCATTTTATTAGTAAATACTAAGGGCTTATATTATAATGTTTGTTTATTTATTTATTTTTAAAGATTTATTTATTTATTTATACAAGCACTGGGTACAGTCAGAAGCGCGGGAGGGTGAGAGAATTCACCAGAGCCAGAGCGGGGAGCAGAGCAGACAGAAGGACTGAAGCACACTGCTGAGGGGAGCAGCGGGCAGCAGGAGAGGTCTGCGCGCCATGTGGGACCCTCCTCCGGTGGCCGGGGACATGTGGGACCCTCCTCCGGTGGCCGGGGAGCAGCCAGGGATCGAACCGGCACTGCACAGGCTGTGGGCAGTTTTGCAACCCAGCGCTCAACCGCTGCGCCACCGGGGAAGTCCCTTATATTATAATGTTACACAAATTTATAATAAAACAAAGAAGTTATAAGGCAAAGAGTTAGTTTTAGAAAATAACAGTGGAAAAAACATTAGAGAAATCTCTTATAAAGAAGTTAAAAATTTCAAGAAGACAAAAAGAATTAGAAATGAAATAATTAAATATTTTTTGCATTGTGATAAATATCTGGAAACATCAAATCATTATCAAATTCATCAAATTATTATCAAATTATCAAATGATCAAAGGCATAAAAGGGTCAATATAATAATATCACTTGATAACAAGTAAATAAATTCCTAATTTCACTAGGAATCAATATGAAATTTTGAAGAATATTTATCCATTCACCACTGTCACTACAAATATAAAATACTCAATGATCAACTTAAAGGACATATTTTCAAACAATCCCATTAAGAGGAAAGTGATTATGTTTCCCATTTTACTTTCCTTCCTCTTATTCCCAAGTGCCACATAGTTTGGGACTCTTGGCCATCTTGGTCCTGACAATTTTCTCATGACGGCATTTCTAGCATCTTCTTTCCCAGTCATATATATAGCCCTTCTGACATTTCTGTCTGGCTGAGTCTCATCAACCTGTTTCACCTCCAATCCTTCTCCCTTCTTAGGGTAGGAAATTAAGTCCTGGATCCAGCTCCCTCCTGCCCTGCCTCATTTTCTCCACTTCTGATTCACAGTCACCTTGAATGAGTAAAGGAAAAAAAAGCAGCACTGTGCCCTTGTCCCTTGTGCCCTGAATTGTGAGGATTAAATGGAGCACCGTGTGCTCGCTCTAACATGAGTAATGATTGATTTGCCATGCCTGGGTTTCTTTTTCTGGACTTCATCAGTTATTGATTGCATTCTTTCAGTGGATTCTAGCTTATTTCTACCTTATTCTAGCAATTGCTTTGAGCTCTCTTGGAAATGGGGTGAGTTGGTCCCAGATGCAAGGCATGATTTGGGAGGGGAGATGGGTGAAGGGAACATGGCAGTGGGAACTGACCAGGGATGGGAGCCAGGGCAAGCAAGACGCAGGGGCTGCTTGTGAGAGGCCAGGGCACCAATTTGCTGAGTGCTTGATATGTGCATCAGGAGGTAGTGCTCTGTGCAAAAAGGGATACTTAGACCACATGTGTTCCCTCTCTTAACTCTAAAAATAATTTAATATTAAACATAAAACCTATAATCACTTAATATAAAACACAATTCATAATCATTTTGGATTGTAAAAGCAGCCTATATTTTAAAAAGAGTGCTTGAGTCTTTTTAAACAATGGGGATGTATTTCCCACTGTGTGAATTACTAAAACAGGAGGGTTGGGTGGTCTGATACATACAGACTTAAAGGATGAGTCTATATCTTCTATAAGTTGATGCATTAAAAAGGCTAAGCAGGGCCTCCCTGGTGATGCAGGGGTTAAAGACAGCGCTATCAAGCTATCACCAGTCACTGCAGCAAGAGTTCAATTCCCCAACCGGCCAGGGAGTAACCCACATGGTGCAGGAGACCTCTCCTGTCTCTCCTGCTGCTCCCCTCAGCAGTGTACTTCAGTCAATCTACCTGTTCTGTTCCCCTGGTGAACTCTGTCTCTGGTGAATCTTCTCACCTCCACCCCCTGCACCTCTGGCCTATACCCCAGCTCTTGCATGCATAAATAAATAAATCTTTAAAAAAAAAAATGGTTAAGCCTTGTTGGCCTAGATTATCATGGTGTACAAAGAAAAGGGTTTATTACATTATAGTTCTAATTTTAAATTCTGACCTCAATTTAATTTCTTAATGTCAAACATGTTCTTAATAAGATACATGTTGAATCAGTGCTGTGTGAATGTGAGGCAGGGAACCTGGAATCCACATGATTCTCATTCTTGAATAACTAAGAATCATAGTTTCAGATCTACAGGGATGAAGAGAGCAAACACGAATATGGGGCAGGAAACAGACAACAAACTCAGAGGAGGTGCACGCCCAGTTTGCCACCTTACCCGCTAGTTGGGGTATTGCTATCTTCCTGTTTTTCTTCTTGCCTATGTATAAACAACAATGAACTTCATTAACTCCTACTGTTTATCAAAACTCTCCAACAAAAGCAGTGGGAGAGATGGCTTGGTGCATATTATATGTTTTAATTAATAAAGTACCATTGTTTTACATCTTTGTTAATATTTTGACAATGTAGGATCTGTCCCCTTAGGTACAGCCATCGGGGCTCCCCCACCACCAAAGACCCACAGTCCTCACCACAGTCCATTGTGCTCTCCCTTCCCCCACCTTAGATGCCTCAGCTCTATGGTCAGTTTTCAAGGGTTGGTTTTAAAGTTTGTCTTTGCTTGTTGGTGCACATTATTATTGTAATATAGGCTCCAGTAACATTGGGTTTTTATTATTTATGGAGCTAAGGAGACAGGAACATGGTTGGAGTCTCCATGAAAGAAAGAAACTTCAAAGAGAAGGACCATGGAAACTAGTTTCAGCACTACAATTATTTGGCTGTAACATCCTCTTGGGGAGTTGGGGGTGTGTCCCAGAACCAGCCCCTGGGACCTGAAGAAGCACATAAGAATCCTGGTTTCAAGGCACATGGAGTCGATCAGGAGTACTGTGGAGGCATATGAGAAAGTTAGCCCAGGTTGTTGACCCCTTTTACCCTAAGTCCCAGGGGAAAAAATTATGGTGGAAGAGTGAACATTAGCTGATGAAAACTAGAGCTTTTCTGGGCTTTCTTTATCAAGGCACAAAGTAGTGCTTCTTTCCCTCACTCTTCCAAGGACTGAGGTTGAAAGTGAAGTTCAGGCCTCAGACTTTCTTCTCAGTAGGTGCCTTGGACTCACAATGCAATGAAAGGACTTTGTCTGTCTGCTACCACCCCCGTGAGGAAAACAAAGC